ACACCTGCTCCCCCTGCCTCGGGTCTATTTTCTCTTTTAGTGACTTCCAGCATCAAAATGTCCCTGCCGCCCAAGCCCTTGGAGTGATTCCACACACAGCTGTCTGGTGTTTATCATGAGCCACGAGGGGGGCTCAGACTCTCACTCCATTTCCTCCCCTGACCCACCCACCAAGGAGAGATGAGAAATTCCCTCTGATCAAGACATGGCAAAGTTCATTTGAACATTCAACAAATTATGTTATTTTTGTAAAGCAAATATAATTTTAGCAAGTTATCGCAGCATCCAATTGAGGAAGGGGATGAGGAAGGAAGATATTTATAAACACACCATGTGCTTGACTCTGTGGCAGGTGCTCTAAGTATATAATCTCATTTAATCTCAACATTCCTGTGAGGGAGGCTGGTTCAACTCTTTTCACAGGTGTGAATATAATCACGAAGTCCATGTTCCCGGGAACTCTAGCAGCCACCCCCACCCAGCCCAGTTTTGAGCACAATGGTCTAGGCAAGTATCTAGCACAGCAGATGATTGATAAATGGGAGCTGGGCCCCACTGGATCCCCGTCCCTGATCAAGTTGATAAAGTTTTTCAACTTGTTTACCTAGCTTTTCAACGAGTTTGCCTAGTTTTTCTTGCCCTCCCATCCCAGCCGGTTATCATGCCTTATTTCAGTAATCAGACATATATTGATAGAGAACAGAAAGTTCTGCATACTATATTAGGCTTGGAATTTAAAGAGATTTGCCTCAACGATACATAAAATAACATGACTAAATACAAATAAGAATAAAATATAACAAACGTTAGTTGTTAAAATAAAGGTTAATAACAGAAAAGGGAGAAAAAACATAAGCATGCAGGCTATAAGAAATTATATAGTTGCTATAATTAAGCTTCAATTTTTACTTTTTGCTTACTAGCAGCCAAACTAAAAAGGAAAACAAAGTCAGTTATATAGCTCTAATTGTTAGAGAGAAAAAGAAACGTCCTCAGGGTGTTACCAGGAACCCCCAATTGGGCTCCAGCTGCCCAATACCGAAGGCAGGATTGAATCATATAAGGTGTTTATTGAGAAGGCTGGCCAACCAAGAAGACAGGGAGCTTACAAGTATTCAAATCCTGCCTTACAGCAAGGTGCAGGGGACAGGATTATAAAAGCGAAAGGGCTAGGGCGAGTCCGGGAATGGAATGCAGCTATGTGCTGTCCTGAGGGTCCGCAGGCGTCAGCTGTTGTCCTTTGATGAGATGATGTTGATGAGATGATGTTTTGATTCCTAGTGGGTAGGTCTGACCGTGCTTATTGCATCTGCTTGCTGGATTCACAGCTGAGTCACCTCCTCAATCGCTTCACACAGGCCTTGAGAAGGAAACTTAAGAAAAACTTAACCCCCTATTCACATACGTACAGTATCTGTGTTCTAAGATTTAAAATAATGTTTTTTTTTCAGATTAATTCAAGTGCTCTATCAGATTATAAAAACCCCTATCAAGGGGAAGCTGAGCTTTTCTGAACACTTAGTTCCAAAATATATAATTCATATACAGTTCACACTAGCTTCTAATCTCCCTACCTTGTGAGCAAGTAGACACTATACCAATCATTCATTCCTATAGCAAAAATAGTAAGTAGAGTAAAACTCTCTAGTAAAGGTTAATAGGTTCTCAAGCTGGGATACACATTTCATATCTGTTATCTATTGCTGTGTAACAACTCACCCCAAAATTTAAAACAAACACCATTTTATTTGCTCATGATTCTGAGGGTCAGCAAATTGAGCTGAGCTCAACTGGACAGTTCTACCAGTACTCAGGCCTCACAGCCCAGGGGTGCTGATTTAACTGGTTTGGGCTGGAGCTCAATTATCCACCGAACTTCAAAAGGTCCTCAGGTGATTCTTATGTATTGCCAACCTGAAGTGCCACTGGCACAGTGCATGACCCTAAATCACAACTGAGTGAAGGCAGTTCTTCCCAGGTGAGGTGAGATTAAAAAGGACTTCATTAGATTCCTGGAACCCTGACCACAGTGCTCAGTAGTTAGAGCATCAGCTCACACACTGAAGGGTCTCGGGTTTCATGCCTGGTCAAGAGCATGTACCTGGGTTGCAGGTTCAATCCCTGGCCCCTGTGGGGGGACCTGCAGGAGGCAATCTCTCTCTCTCTCTCTCTCTCTCTCTCTCTCTCTCTCTCTCTCTCTCTCTCTCTCCCTCTCTCCCTTCCCCCCTCCCTTCCACTCTCTCTAAAAGTCAATGGCAAAAATATCCTTGGGTGAGGATTAACAAACCAAAAGAAAGGACTTCAGGAATTACAAGACATTGACTAGCCAAAACAGTACTGAAAAAGAACAAAGTTGGAAAACTTATAGTTGCTGATTTAAAAATTCACTATAAAGCTACAGTAATCAAGACAGTGTGTTGTGGCATAAGGAAGACATATAGGTCAAGGGATCAGAATTGAGAGTTCAGAGTTCTTTCCTTTCACTGCTGTGGCAAAAGGATCTGGTTAGACCCCAATGGGACCAATGAAATCATCAAGGCCAACTCCCGTGAGCAGATTCAGAAGCTGATCAAAGATGGGCTGATCATCCGGAGGCCTGTGACTGTCCATTCCTGGGCTCGATGCCAGAAAAACTCCTTGACTCACAGTAAGGGCAGGCATGTGGGCAGAAGGGTACTGCCAATGCTCAACTGGATGAGGGGGATGAGAATTCTTCACCAGTTACTCAGAAAATACCATGAATCTAAAATTTACCACCACAGGTACCACAGCCTATCACTCAGTGGTTCTCAACCTTCTGGCCCTTTAAATACAGTTCCTCATGTTGTGACCCAACCATAAAATTATTTTCGTTGCTACTTCATAACTGTAATGTTGCTACTGTTATGAATCGTAATGTAAAGATCTGATATGCAGGATGGTCTTAGGCGACCCCTGTGAAAGGGCTGTTCAACCGCCAAAGGGGTCGCGACCCACAGGTTGAGAACCGCTGCAACTGAACGTGAAGGGTAATGTGTTCAAAAACAAGTGGATGCTCATAGAACACATCCACAAGTGAAGAGCGGCTCCAGGCCAAGAAGCAGGAAATCATTAATACTCTGTCCAAGGAATAAGAGACCAAGGAATTGGCACCAGGCTAGTGTGGTTCAATGGTTGAGTGTCAACCTATGTACCAGGAGATCACGGTTTGATTTCCAGTCAGGGCACATGCCCAAGTTATGGGCTCAATCCCCAGTGGGGGTAGGCAGGAAGCAGCCTATCGATGTTTCTCCATCGTCAATGTTTTCATCTCTCTATCCCTCTCCCTTCCTTTCTCTCTAAAACCATAGTGGCCTTGGTAATCACATGGATCAATCATTCAATAAAGTAGCCCTCATCTACCTAAAAAAAAAAAAGAATTGAGAGTCCAGAAATAAATCCTTACACTTACAGTCAATTGCTTTAACAAGGGTGCTGAGATCATTTGATGGGAAAAGAACAGGCTTTTCAACAATGATGCTAGGACAGTGATGGCGAACCTTTTGACCTCGCCATGTCAGCATTTTGAAAAACCCTAACTTAACTCTGGTGCTGTGTCACATATAGAAATTTTTTGATATTTGCAACCATAGTAAAACAAAGACTTATATTTTTGATATTTATTTTATATATTTAAATGCCATTTAACAAAGAAAAATCAACCAAAAAAATGAGTTCGCGTGTCATAGGTTCGCCATCACTAGCAGCTAGGACAACTGGATATCCACATCCATATCTCTTAGAAAAAAAGCATAGGATTATGCACCATGACCAAGTGGAATTTATCCCAGAATGCACAATTGTTTTGGGTGTCTTGAAATTCAACTAATATAATTCACTATTAATAGAAAAAAGGACAAAACCACATGGCCATCTCAATAGCTGCAAAAAATTATTTCCAAAATCAAATTTATATTCATGATACAATCTCTCAATAAACTAAGAAGAAAAGGAAGTTTAATCAAAGAGCATTATACTTATTAGTGAAAGACTGTTCATACAATAGAATATTATGCAGTCTTTAAAAGGTAGAAAATTACAATACATGCTACAACATAGATGAATCTTAAAGACATTACACTAAGTGAAATAAACCAGTCACAGAAGAATAAATACTATATGATTTCACTTAATATGCAGAGCCTAGAATAGTTTAATTCATAGGGGCAGAAAGCAAAATGGTGGTTGCCAGGGATGGGGGTGGGGGAGAGGAATGGGGAGTTGTTGTTTATGGTAAAGAATTTCAGTTTGGGAAGATGGAAAGAGTTCTTGAGATGGATGGTGGTAATGGGTACCAAACAATGTGAATGTAGTTAATGCCAGTGAACTGTACAGTTAAAAATGATTAAAGTGTTCCTGGCCAGTGTGGCTCAGTAGGTTGGAGTGTCGTCCTATATGCCAAAACAGGGGTCCTCAAACTTTTTAAACAGGGGGCCAGTTCACTGTCCCTCAGACTGTTGGAGGGCCGGACTATAGTTTTTTAAAAAAACTATGAACAAATTCCTATGCACACTGCACATATCTTATTTTGAAGTAAAAAAACAAAACAGGAACGAATACAATATTTGTATTTGCATGTGGCCCGCGGGCCGTATTTGAGGACCCCTGTGCCAAAAGGTTGTGTGATTAATCCCTAATTGTAGCATGTATGGAAGACAACCAATCGATATTCTCTCTCACATTGATATTGCTCTTTCTCTCTCTCTCTCTCTCTCTCTCTCTCTCTCTCTCTCTCTCACCTTCTCTCTAAAAATCATAAGCATGTCTTTATGTGAGAATTTTTTTTAAAGTTAAAGTGGATAAATTTTGTGTTATAAAATTTTATAATTCACTACAATTAAAAAATAAAAATAAGTAAATACAATAGTGAGGGAATGAATACTTTTCTTGTAAGACTGAGCAGTGTTCTCACCACTGTCCTACAGTCTCTAGCTAGTGAAATATTGCAAGAAAAATAAATAAAAGGCATACAGATTGGAAAGGAAGAAGTAAAACTGCCTTTATTCACAGACAACATGTAGAAAATTCTAAGGAGTCTCCAAAAACTTACTAGAATGAATAAACCCGATCAGCAATGCCACAGGACACAAACCAATATACAAAATTAACTGTATTTCAATATATCAAGAACAAAAAATAAAAGGTGAAATTAAAAGGCAATTCCATTCACAATAGCATAAGAAGAAACACAAAATACTTGGGAACAAATTTAACAAATGAAGTATAAGTGCTATGAACTAAAACCCACAAAATGTTGATAAGATATTTACCTGAAATGCTGAATAAATGGAGAGACATACCAGGCACATCAATTAGAAGGCTCAGTATTGTTAAGAAGGCAATTCTCACAATTTGATCTAGAAATTCCAAACAAACCCTATGAAAATCATATTTAGAAATACAAAAAAAAACTAGAAAAGTCAACATTTTTTTAAAAGAGCAAAGCTGGAAAACTTATGCTATCTGATTTCAAAATTTACTATAAAGCTATAGTACTTAAGACAATCTTATTTTGACATAAGCATAGAATGTCCAAAACTAAGCCCTGATATTTATAATTAATTGGTTTTCAACAAAGATGCCAAAGGAAAAAATTATAGCCTTTACCACACACTACACACAAAAACTTATTCATAGATCTAAATATAGGAGCTAAATAATCATCTATCCTAATGCCAAAAATGTACCCCCCAAAATTCATACTAACTAGAGCTTTGCTTTATTTCACTTAGGCAAATGAGGCTACAGGTGGACCAAATATCTAGAATATTTTACCAATATTTCCTACCAATACTTTATCAATATTTTCCTCTCTGTTACCAGATTTGTCAAACTGGGTCCTTTGGAAGAAAACCCCATTACAACACCCTGATGGACATCTGCATTGGAAGAAAAGGCAGTGGAATCTTTAGGTTGACCGTAGGGGCACTAAAAAATTCTAAATAGGTTTGAACTCAGATTTTTGTTTCAGAGAAGGATAATTTGTTTTCCATCTATAGAATTAAACTGAGAGTTATGCCAGTAATTTCTCAAATTCAGCTGTGACCATTCAGTGTAATGTATTTTGAGGACCTGACAAGGAAAGGAAGGCCCACCCAGAGCTGTCCCCTTATTGGGTTGCTTGGGCTGTAAAGGGCTGAGAGGGTCTACGGAGTCCTAGGTCAGCAGCTCTGTTTTTGGAATGTCACAGACCGCGGTGCCCAGGTGTGCCTATTTGACAGCCTGAACGCTGCAGATCAGGGATGAGCCTGCTTAGGTGAAAGGCCTCCAAGGCAAGCAATCCCTCAATTAATTTCTCAAGGCTTCAGTAGACCTGAGAAATGAGTGGACACACCTCTCTCTCAAGGGAGAAGCTGTGGGTTTGTCCACATCTTCTGGATTTCCTCCAGCTTCTGGGTAGGGTTTCTTTCTTGCTATTCAGGAATAGGTGTGGAGAGCAGCACGCTTCTCTTCTCCGCCAGTGGCAGCATTTTCATTCACCTGCCAATACAAGCAACAACTTGTAGGACCCACACTTCACTTTTTTTTTTAAAGAGATTTGATACAAAGAAAAGCTGGTCCCCTTCCCATGAGGCTAATGAAAAGAAATTGTATTTAAAACAAGGGCATATACTCAAAATTCTATTTCCATCTCTCCCTACCTACTGACAAATGTTCATGCAAATTGAATTTAAGAATAGTCATGCAAGTCTTTTTATAAGAATAACCTCCCTCCTATCAATGAGTTAAACTCAAAAACTCTATTTCAGTTAGTAGTGACCTTTGTTTTAGAATGTGTCACACTCTCATCAGAGACAACCTTTTTTTTCTTTTTTTTATTGCTTAAAGTATTACAAAGAGTATTACATATGTCTCCTTTCCCCCTCCCCTTGACAATCCCCTAGCCTCCCCTACCCCCCAGTGTCTTATGTCCATTGTTATGCTTATATGCATGCATACAAGTCCTTCGGAGAGACAACCTTATTTCATGAATAAAAATGCTACAATTAAGAATTATAACTCTCAATATTTATTTACTCTCATACCCCACTTTGTACCTAAGAATTTCAAGACAAAATTGCATAATCACATAACAGGATTAGTGTATGAGCCTCAGCACGTCACTTTCCTCTTCTAGAGGAAACATGAGCAGGGGTTGGCACACAATCACATGGTCAGAGCTGCTAGTCCTCAATTCTGTGATAAAACGATTAAAGAAAATGCCTAGGACCAGCACGAGGTCAGGACACAGTTAAGCATGGCATGTGACCCCTGAGTTTCCAGTGTTATTTATGAGTATTTCTCCTACCAATACTCTATTTTCCACCATTTTTGAATGAAACAATGTTATCATCTTGATTCTTTTTGATATTTTCTTTTTGTTTTAAAAATATCACTCACTGTTTTCAGATCATAAAATTAATACTATTCATTTAAAATATAAAAAGTTATGAAGAAGAAAATCAAATCATCCATAATCCTTCCACCAAGAGATAACCACTGTTAACATTTTCCTTTAGTGTTTTTATGTATAATCACTCCCCCCCCCGAAAAAAAAAGTTACATAGCAAATACATCAAAAGCAATTTCCTATTCTTAACCTATACCCACATGGGATAAGACCACTTACATTTGGTCATGAGGTTGTCCCACAATGCCACCAGCCTGGGTCCTCTGGTCCCTCCCTCATGGTCTGTTTCTCCATCCACCCTGACCCTAAGTTCCTCAGCTGGGACCTGGCTTATACAGGACTCTAAGTTCAAGTTTTGACTATTTGCCTTCAGTGTTGTCTGACCCCTCCTTAGGCACTGGGAATGTGAACTGTAAAGGCAAAACTCCATGCAACTATGCACCAATATAACAAAATCAAGTAAAACTTTATTAAAACCCGCATCCTTTGTTGTTTTTGATGCTTTGGAAAATAGAGTTTTACTTTGCCTTTTTAAAATGCAGGTATTTCCAAAGACATAGGATACTAGAGTGCAGGAACGTATTTGTAACGCCAGCACATAGCCCATAATAAGTGCTCAAAAAATGTCCAATGAATGTTTAAATAACATTTATCTAACTCTTGCTCTCTGTCTGGGGGAATACACTCAAAACTTGAAGTTAAAAATAGCAACAGTAATAAATGTGGTCGGTGGCTCTGCATCCTTTATCAGCCAGAATCACTAGTCTTTAATCATTTCAACATCTGTTTCACATTGGCTCTCACCTTCTGACTACTAACCTGTCCTCCTGCAGCCATGGACTTAATCTGCTTTCATGACTGCTGCTTCCACTAATCTCCCCTGGTTGACGTAGACTTTGCTCTACCACCAAGGACACACTGGCCTCCTCCTTCATTGACTCACAGCCTCTTCTCACCTCCCACCGTTCCAACTACTGCGGTCTGCTCCACCTCCATCTCTCCTCTGAAACCATTCTTGCCAAGCTCTAGGATAATTGTTAATCATTGTTTTACCTAACCTCCCTAAAACATTTGACACACTTGACCTCACCCTCCTTGAGACTCTGTCTTTGTAGTACATGATTCCTGCGTCTGGTTCTGCTCACACCCTGGCTTCCCCTTACAGCCTCTTCTTCAGAGTCCTTCTCTGCCTGAGCTGTAAATGTTAGAATCCCCTGGGTTTACTCCTCAGCTCTTGTATGTCTTTACCCTGAGACTCACCTCTCTGGTCTCACCCATTCCCATGATTTCTGCAGCATCTATAGATCCTGCATGCCATCTGTGAGGGGATTATCAACTGCTTACTGAATAATTGCACTTAAATGTCTCTCAAAATCAGCATGTCCAAATGGAACTTACATCTTCCCACCCAAACCTCCCGTTCTTTTATTGTTTTATGGAATCCAAGTCAGAAATTTAGGAGATTCCATGCTCTTCTACAACCCTAGATCTAATGGTTCACCAAGTCCTGTTGATTCTACCTTTTTACTATTTAGCCAATTGTTCTCAAGACTGTGATCTTTCCAAGATGTCCATCTGAATGGGAAGCTCTCTCTGTAACTTCCCATTTCTCTAATAATAAGGGGAACCACCCTCCTTCAGAGGCCCACGTCCCTTCATAGTGTTATCAGTAGAAGTGGAGTTCTTAGGGATACTGCTAGAATAAGCATTTCTTGAGGCCCCCATGGGAGGGTGAGATATGGTCAAAAGCTTTATTTCCATGGAATTACATCCCTGTGTTTCTAAAGTCGCATTTCCCTTAGTCCAGTCATAGAAGGAGTGTAGCTGGGTTTTCAGTAAAGCTGGAAGCACAGTCAGAGTCCAGAGTTCCTGTTCCATGTTGCAGCTGGGTCCAGTTCAGCATCGGGCTAGTTGCAATCCATTAGTCCATTATGTGTGGGGGTCCACATAGCCATGGGCCACATGGGAGAATGCCAGGAAGCCAAGTGTGAGCCATGAGCCAAGGTGAAAGGAATCAACAGAGAGAAGTTCTTTATTCAGGAAATTAAGTATCCCACATCTTCATGGTGGTCACACCCATTCTGGCCAACCATCTGTCCCCAGGTGTGATGGACATCAAGGACCTTCACTAGTCCCCCCAACTTTACTGGGCATGTGTCAATCTTCCCTTTGTTGGATCACTAGGGAGTATAAAGTTGTAGCTTCCTGGTGAAGCTGTCCAAATGACATGCCTATAATGACTGGCTTCTCCCTTTACTCCTTTTCTGTTATTAATAGCTAGGTTAATTGCAATGGTATCATTAATTCTTATGGTCCAGTCATACCTAACTGCTTTTCATTTATTCAGAAAGCTCTGATATCTCTAACCTCTGGGTAGTTACATCTACTATTCCATGTACCTAGAAGTCTCTCTACCCTTTCTGTCACCTGGCCATCTTCTGCTCCTTCTTCAAGTCTTAGGTTAGACATCATTTTTAGGGCGATTTTCAGAAAGTCTTTCTGAAGCTCTGAAGCTCTGGAAACATGCTCCTGATATATAAGCTCCAAGAATGCTCTGTATCATCTTAGCACTTGCACAGTAATTGTGACTGCCTTTGTACTTGCCTGGACTGTCAAGTGAGTGTAAGTACTGGGAGGCAGACACAGGTTTACCTTGTTTGTCTTTGTATTACCTGCACATAACATGGCATAGTGCTAGCACATAGTAGGTAGGTGCTCAAAAAATTTGAGTATAATATTATTTCGCCTTAAAAAGGAAGGAAATGCTGACACATATTACAACATGGATGAAACATGAGGACATTATGTTAAGTGAAATAAGCCAGCCACAAAAAGACAAATACTGAATGATTCCACTCATATGTGGTACTTAGAAAGTCAAATTCATACAGACACAAAGTAGAAATGGTGCTTGCAATGGGACTGGAGGAGGAAGGAATGGGGAGTTAGTGTTTAATGGAAACAGAGCTTCAGTTTGAAAAGATGAAAAAATTCTGGAGATGGATGGTGGTGACAGTTGCACAACAGTGTGAACGTACTTAATGCCACTGAACTGCACACTTAAAATGGTTAAGATGGTTTTATGTTATTGTATTCTTCACAGTAAAAAAAAAAAAAAAAAAAATAGAGCCCATAGATGAGTCCCTTTGTAAAGCAAAAAGTTCTTGTGTGATGTGAGGAGTCACACCTCTTCGCCCTAACTAATCTGTTCTGGAAACTCAAGTTCACGCATATTGACTTACTTACTAGTAAAGCCAGGCATACTTGAGATATGTTTTGCTGCGAGAGCTACCCATTTGCAATCTCTTCTTCAAGGAGATTCTGTGAGAGGCACTCATTTACAGATATTTGAGAGTTGGAACCATTTACTCACCATCATTCATCACTATGTGTTGACATGTGTGTGACGACCAACCTGCTGTTTAATACTGTCATTCTGTAATTATCCCTATCACAGCAGACAGGTACATGGATCCCAGTCCCCAGCACATGACCAAAGTGCAGGGAGAAACTTGGGCTCCTCTCAGCCATCGGTGGGAGTGCCAGCCAGTGAGTAATGAATGGACCTGCAACCACAAATGAGGCTCCCTGTGACTCATCCACACACAAGCTGCTTTATCTTCCTCATCCCACCCACAGTTCCTCCCTGTCCTTTCCTCCAGAGAAGCCGGGGACTTAGATGAAAGTGGGCACACTGTGCCCCGAGTCAGGAAGGCTGCTGAATCAGGAGCCCGCTTGGCCCTTACTGCATGGCGCCAATAACACCTCTGCCTGGGCCGCGTCTTTCATCTGAGCACCTCAAAGTCCTTACAAGCAATGACTATGAATTCTCATGCAGGCCTGGGATATGCAGGAAACTAGTTCAAAGTTGGAGAGATTAAGGCACAATGGGGGTCACAGTTGAGCTGAATATCACACAAGAAAATGGTCCAATGAAAACTCTCAGACTTCCATGTTATTTTTAAACTCCTCCCACCCTTTTTTTCCCCCTGCTACTTTCATATTTTCAATGGATGGGGAAAGGAAATAACAACTTTGCACAAAATATAATCCACAAATAGCAACTTGGTACTTTGGGACAGCCCAGAGC